TTCAGGTCTCCTCAGTTTCAGCAAGCAGGGTTGTGTCATCTGCATAATGCAGATTGTTGATGAATCTTCCACCAATCCTGACACCACACTTCTCCTCATAGAGCCCAGCCTCCCAGATAATCTGTTCTGCATACAGGTTGAAAAGGTATGAAGATAGGACACATCCCTGGCGTACGCCCTTCCCAATTTTGAACCATGAAGTGTTTCCTTGTTCTGTTCTGACAGCTGCCTCTTGGTCCAAGTATAGGTTTCGCATTAGCATGACCAAGTGTTTGGGATTCCCATTCTTCTCAGAGTCAGCCACAGTTTGTTGTGATCCACACAGTCAAATACCTTTGCATAATGGTATTCCCTGCTTTCAGCTAAGATCCATCTAACATCAGCTACAATACCCTAGTACCATGACCCCTTCTAAATCCAGCCCGGACTTCTGGCAGTTCTCTGCTGATGTGCTGTTCCAGTCGTTTTTGGATAATCTTCTGTAGAATCTTGCTTGCATGTGAAACCAATGATACCGTTCTGTAGTTTCCACATGCATACAAATCTGTAGGCTTTTAAGGTGCAAATCAGTGTACTTGCTTAATTTAATTTCTTTTAACCTAACTTCAGCAGTCTTTATAAGTTCATAAGTTTTATGGTCCTTAGACTTCCTGAATTAATTTTAACATATCCTTTTTCTAGTGATCTAGAACAACTTCGAAAAATCCAACGGCGAAGTCCTCATGAAGATACTGAGTCTTTTACTGTGTACTTGAGATCAGATGTGGAGGCAAAGTAAGCACATACTTCTCTTAGAATGACAGTATAAGTTCAATTTGAGATTAATACTAACACATTTTAAAAAAGAAACAAAAGCTAATTTGGACAGATTTAATTTTTTTTTTTCTTGTGTACCGTTGGATCAGATCCAACTGGCACAGATTTAAAATTTTTCATATGACATTTTAAAACCAGAGAATGTATTTACACACTTACGTATTTATTTAACTGGAGCTTAAGGGTGTATTATTTAACCAAAAATCCATCACAACTTATAAAAAAATAATTACTGAAGTTGCTTTTCTGGTTTGATATAATTTAGAAAGTTTCTTAATGGTTTATATTTAATCTAAGAATTATATTTTGTTGTAAGATTCTGAGTTACTGGATTTTACATGTGGTTAAAGATAATTTATACTGTATTTAATTTAGAATTAAGTATAGTTATAATAAAATCAATAACATTGTCCTTTCTTGGTGGCTGTATGTGTATGCATAGATCTTTGGAAGTTTGGGGAAGCCCTGAAGCCCTTGCTAGAGAGAAAAAACTGCGTAAAGAAGCAGAAATAGAATACAGAGAGCGTAAGTATATTGACTTTAAAGCTGAGTAAATTGTGGATAAAAATTGTGTCTATAATAATTATGTACTAACTCTGGTGCCTTAGTGGTAAGGAGTTGGCATTGTCAACGCCAAAGGCACATCGTTCTAATCTTCCAGCTGCTCCATGAGGAAAAAAAAATGGATAATTTCCACCTGGAGATTTACTACTTATGAAAATCCACTGGAAGGTCTGCTATGAGTTAGTCCCAACTTGACAGTACATAAAAACAAGGAGTGCATGTGTGGGCACTTGTTGGTGCATTTGTTCATATTTGGCACTAACCATAAGGTCAGAATTTCAAACCCACCAGCTGCTTTGAGGAAAAAAAATGGGCAGTCTGCTTCCGTAAAAGTTTACCACTTTGGGAATTCTATTGTCGAGTTCTACTTTGGCCTGCATTATAATCAACTAGATGACATTGGGAGTGCATGCATACTTCTTAGGTTTGACTCTGTTGATCCTAGTAAATACCAGTTCTCACTTTGGGAATATTATTTTTACCTCTCCCCATCTCCCTAGTTTTTTAAAAAATATATTTGTTCTAAAATCAAAAGAATAGGCATTTACTACTTTTTTAGTTAGAAGCCTGAGTCTCATGCAAACCAGTATAAAACTACAAAAAAGTACCTCATCCTGAAAACGATAAATACAAGTTAAATATTGCAGATAAGGCAAAGAGTTCACCCATCCAATGGTTGTTTAAAAAGAAAAAGTAAGTGTAATTCTGCCTTGACATTACTTTTTTTAAAAAATTTTTTTAAATAATTTTAATGAACATTTACAGAGATTTTGGATCTCCATTCATTCATTGTTGCACTTTTCTCCCTGCCCAGCCCTCCCCCCTGCCCCCCCGCCCAGTTCGCTCCTCTCTTTGAAAAGTAAAAGAAAAATTCTTTCTTTGATATACA